TCACCATTTTTATGATCCAAATGCATAATTCTGTGAATTTACTTATTCATGATTATGGATTTTGACTATTGTATTTCATTTTCATGTTTAGCAAGATTTTACATTGTCATTCTTATTAGTTCTTGACATGATTCTTGAAACTTATCTTTTAAAGCATGATTTTAGAGCTTTTATGTTATTATGAAAGTTATGCATGTTCTAGAAAACTTTCGCATGATTTGAGAAGATATGTTTTAGAAAGAGATTTCAACACATGATTTTAGAAAGAAAGATTTGAGCATAGTCTCAGAACAAGATATGTTTTAGAATAAGTTTTTTAAGCAAGACGCATTATAAGGTTAATAGATATGTTATGAGCTATGATATGTTATGAACTATATAGATAGTATATTTTATGAGTAGTATTTAGCACCGAGTAAAATTGGATTCTAGATAGACAGTTTTAAAAATGCGTGCCACCGTAGAATTATGTTTCACCACTTTATAGGTTAACCATTTTACCCCGAGAGTCTCATATTAGAAGATACACATTAGATAGATAGATTCTATATCCTAGAAAAGAATAAAGCAGCCCTCCCCAACTGGAATTGTAAATTGGTGCATCATGAGCTCACACGATGTACGTCGGTTAAGAGAAACTCTCACCTAAAAGATTTACTTAATCTACTTTATGCTTTCTTGATATTATCAGTATAAGATTTTCATATAACATGATTTTCATTTATGCATTCTTTCAAATATGATTTCAAAAAATATGATCTCAAATATACATTTTTATTTCTATAATATTATGTCACATGTCACAGTTTTGACTTTCAAATCTTCAGTTATTATTTATGTTATTGTGTATAACTCAAGCTCAGATTTATAGTTCTTTAGTTGCTTGTATAATTGTTGATACCAGTCCTTATCTTGAATACTAATACATTTCATGTATTGACGCTACTTTGCAATTTATAGTTTTATGAAGTAGATTTCAACACCATGATTTAGATTCACAGGCAAGCGGTCCACTAAGTTCCTCTACTTTTAGCACTACGATGATTCCTCCTTCCATTCAGAGGACTTCAGTTATGAATCATTAGATTTTATTCACTTCAATTATGTTAGTCTTTAGGCGGCCCAAGGTCTTGTTCCTACAAATCGTATTATTTAGTTTAGAGGCTTTAAGACATTAGTATTAAGTTGTAATAGACTTATTCTTGAATTTTATTTCAGTTATGCTTTTAGTTTATAGCTAGTACTTCAGTTTTCATATGACATGCTTAGATATGGCATGCCAAGGGTTAGCTTGGGATCACTTGTGGCTCCAGGTATTGTGTCTCCGTTGCGGTATAGACTCGGATCGTGACAATAAATTACAATAATTAACAAAATAAAATATTTAAAAATATATTAAAAATTTAATCAACTCTCGAAATTTCACGTGTGCCACATTAATTGACACAAATGGAGTAACATGCATTATTTGAAAATTACATTAAGAGTACTATAAATCACAATAATTAACAACTTAAAAATATTTTTAAGGAAACATATTAAAATTTGGTTAACTCTCGAAATTTCACATGTGCCACATGAATTGCGACAAAGAGTGTAACATATATCATTTGAAAATTACATTAATTAAGAGCACTATAAATCACAATAATTAAAACTTAAAATATTTATAAAGCATATTAAAAATTTTGGTTGACTCTCAAAGTTTCATACGTACCACATAAATTGGGACAAAGTGAGTAACATATATTATTTTAAAATTACGTTAAAAGTACTGTAAATCACAATAATTAACAACTTACAATATTTTAAAAATATATAAAAATTTGGCTAACTCCTTTAATTCTATATGTGCCACATAAATTGAAATAAATGGAGTAATATATAGGAAAAATTACAGAGCTGACAACCCATAACATTTGTTTACCACTTTTCTGGCCCAACTTTACAGAATTACCCAAAATGGCCCAATTCGGACAAAATGGTCATGTTTGATGTAATTAATCCTTCCTTTCTGAAATTGAAAAGGCTGAGATGTGCTCAAGTTTGTGCTTAGAATACATTTTTTATTTTATTTATTTATTAACATGGAAATGCATGATAGTAAAATAAATATCGATATGCATGGCCATTTTGTTAATCTTTTATTCTGTTTTTTTTGTGCTATTAAAAAAAATTGTTGCTCTTTTTAAATCTTTTTTCCTTTTCTAATCACTTCACTACTTTTGTGAAAAAATAAATATTTATGTCGTTTTATTTATTTTTTATTTATTCTTCTATTTATTAAGGTGGGAATGCATGATAAGCAAATAAATTTTGATATCGATACATTACATAATTGTTTATGAAATGTTGATACACAATTATACATCATTTATACAATATTGATACATTACATACATATTTATACAATATCGATACATTACATATATACTGCATAACTATTTATACATCATATATATATGTGTTTATACGCTATTTATATAATATTAATGCACGTTTATACACTATTTATACAATATCGATACATTACATAAACACTATATAACTACTTATAAAATAATGATAAATTACATATACACTACATAATTATTTTTACATCATATATATTTATTTTTACACCATTTATAAAATATTGATACATGAAAAAAATTTGGAAAAGAAAAAGAAAAAAATTGGTTCTTGGATTGTACAAATCTAGAATTTGTATAATTCGGTTCATGGTTGTATAAATTCAGATTTGTATATGCTTACCCTAATTATTTGCATACGATTTATGAAAAATTACAATATTTGTACATTGACAAGAGAAATATACAAACAGAGTTCTAAAAAAATCATAAATGTATAAACACAGAATTCACATATATTTACCCTGTTTGTATATTTGCAAGCGAAATATAAATATACAAACGGCAACTTCCATAGCAGACAAAACTATAGCTCCAAACTATAATCATAGAGCCTTATTATATCTATTATATTTGCTATTTCTGAAATTTTCTACATTTAAAATTATTTCTCTCCTTAAAATTAGCAAAAGTATTTATTTATGACTATTCTTCTTTCCGTGTATTCAATTAAATATATTTGATCAAATATACGTTTGTACTATAACGTATAAACAATTTATTTTTCATAATTGTTTGTGTATCCATTTGCATAATATAAACTTAGTATTAGGCGTCCAAGATATGTTATATACATATTTAGTATGTGGTGAACGTTGAAATCTACTGCAAAAAAATGTTTCCAATTGAATACATATGATTCAGTATACATTCAATGAAGTATACGTTGGCACTATAATGTATACATTACTTATATTTTGTATATATACATTATCAGTATAATAAGTATAAATTTTACCTATCATGTGTATTCTATATTATCTTTCAATAAAATATTTTGATAAATAAAATCAAGTTTGTATACATTCTTACAACTGCATGTACATAATATCAACTGCGTATACATTTAGTTTTATAATGTATACATTAGACTGTTATAGAGTTATGCCTCAATGTATACGAATTCATGTTTCACATTAAATAAAAATTAAATACTTCTTCGATTTGAATACCGAGGTGAGTTTGCATGTGTTGAAATCGCTGTTGTAGGTAGAAAATCTTTAATATCGAAATTATTATCCATTAATAGCTACAATTGATGATTTTCAAACTCATCGTCGTTTTTTCAGTTCACTCATTTCCTCCAAGGGTTTGACACTATTGTTGCAATCTTCGTCACTTTCTACATATTTTCTCTTTTAAGAATGAACTACTCTTATCAATTGAAATATAATTAAAAAAAACACACACACAAAATGTAAAAAAAAAAAACAATCTTGCATCCAACTACAAGATAAAGAATCTAGAAACCGTCAATTTTTTTTGACAAAAACAGAAACAATCAATATAAATAAAAATTCGTGTGATTTGAGTTACTAAATGTGAAGATTTACTGTTGTAATTAATCTCTAATGGAGGTATTTTAGAGAAGATAGAAATTCTAAAACTTGAAAGAGGTAGAAAATGAAAGAAAGAGAATAAGAGGGGAGTTGAAAATACCTGACTCTTTTTTATATAAAATAGTGTTTCAGTTACAAATTCATTTAATTGTGTGGATGTTTCTTTTCAATCTTAATGTCTCATTTACTATATCACTTAAAGAGCTTCTAACGAATTTGCTGAACATTGTAAACGGGTGATTTCTTCATCCTATAAAAGGTTATGCTTCACCCTTGTGAAAGACAACATTTGAAGAGATTTATACTTTTCATCATTATTTTGTCTCCTATATTGTTTAGTATTCTTATATTTTCTTCTGGTTTTACAAAATGTTATCAACACGAGTCTCTAACCAATTGAGACCTACTTAATTAGGGATTATCTTTTTTTTCCTAAAAGTTCATCAATTTTCATTTAGAGTCAGTTTTCATCATGTCGAATTTGTCAAAACATGAATTCGTGGCACTTGAAATTTCTGGAAAGAACTATTTGTCATGGGTACTTGATGCTGAAATTCACCTTACTACTAAGGGTCTTGGTGATAGTGTAATAGAAGGGAATAATACATCAAGTCAGGATAAAGCGAAGGCTATGATTTTCCTTCGTCATCATCTTGATGAAAGCCTGAAGGTTGAATACTTGACAGTAAAAGATCCACTTGAATTGTGGATAGGTTTGAAAGGGAGGTATGACCACCTCAAGGCAACTGTATTGCCAAGGGTTCATTATGAGTGGATGCACTTACGGTTTCAAGATTATAAAACTATAATTGAGTATAACTCTGATATATTTAGAATCACTTCCCAATTGAAATTATGTGGGGAAAAATTATAAAAGATGAGGACATGTTGGAAAAGACACTAACTACTTTTCATGCCTCTAATATGATATTACATAAGCAATACCGTGAAAAAGGTTTTCAGAAATACTTTAAATTGATCTCATGCCTTCTGGTGGCTGAGCAACATGATGACCTTTTAATGAGAAATCATGACTTGTCCCACTGGAAGTGCTCCATTACCAGAAGCACACAAGATAGAAGCACACGGCCAGTTTGAAATACAACAAAATAATCATGGCCATGATAATGTGTGTGGGCGTGGCAAAAGGAAAAGACGATATGATAATCGTCGAGGTGGTGGTCATAACAAAAGGGAGAACAATATGGGTTCTCAAAATAATCCTTCAAAAGGCAAGGGAGATCACTGTCATCGTTGTGGCCTTAAAGGTCACTGGAAAAATGAAAGTCGGGCACCTGAGTATTTTGTCAGGCTGTATCAAAATTCATTTAAAAGGAAAGGGAATAAAGGTGGTGCCTCCTCTTCTAATGCCCGAGTAGAGTCACATTTGATTCTCAAAGATGATGTTAAGGCAGGATCTTCTCAAAAATATGATGAGAATGTTGAGGCAAATTTAGCATTGAAAGATGATGCTTTTGATGGGCTCGATGATATTACTCATCTGGAAGCTGAGGGCTTCTTTGGGGATCGCAACTGAAGATTGATAATTGAACTAGGAAATGAATAATGTTGTTATGTGTTTTTAATGTCTTACTTAAAGTTCATGTACTTAAATTTTCTTTTGTTAAGTTTCGTACTTCTTATTGTGTATTTTTATTTTTATGAAGATAAATAAAATTTCTTAATCTTCAGTTGGATCCAAGATGAGTAATGGAGATATGTGCCTTCTGGACAGTACCACAACTCATACGATACTAAGAGAAAAGAAATATTTCTCTCATTTGATTATGAAAAAGGCATAATAATATCATCCATGTCAGCCTACTTGTACTAAAGTTGTCGGGCTTCAATGAAAAAATAAGAATATGTTTATCACGAAAGAGATGTCCAAATTCATGTCCAAATGGAAGAAGATTAGGCCACACAAAGCCCAACAAAGGATCCCAAAAAGCTGAATGGTTAAAGTCAAAGTTTCCTAGTTTGAAAACCTTTATTTTAAAGTTTTCCTAGTTTAAAAAGTTTCCTAGTTTAAAGTTTTCCTGTTTTCATAGTTTAAAGTTTTTCTAGTTTAAAGTTTCTATAAAAGTAGGATTTAAATCCTATTCTATTTGGGATAGATTTTCCCTATATATAAGGGTTGATTTTATTATTTAAATACAGACATGATTAATATTATTTGAGAGGTTTCTCTTCTTTACACCTTTGTGTGTGGTGACTATGGATTTATCTTACAACCTTATAAGAACGATTCTTTAAGAGGTAAGATTATTTTTAATATGATATCTTTGATCTCTATTCGTAAATTAAAGAAGGTGATTAGTCTTATACTAATTATTGTCTCTAATTTCTTCGTAATAGGGGTCTATATCACTTTTGATCTAAGTTCTTGAATTGACTTTATTAGTATCATAATTAGTCTTAATCCGCTAATTTTGAATACTAAAATCAATTAGGGTTCTTAGCACTTTATCTTGAAATTAGGGATTTTATTCTTGAATTTCACGTATCTTTCAATTTCTGACTTTAATCTTTATAATTTTGCTTCTGCATTATTTTCTTGTTTATTCTGGTAACCCGATTCTTATCACATATGTTAATAAAATATCCATTAGTACAAAGTTGATTTAAGGCTCTGGAAGAGCGGCCTTATTACTACCCGGAGGAACATTATAGGTAATTGATAATGCATTGTATTGTAGTAAGTCTCAAAGAAATTTGTTAAGTTTCAAGGTTATTCGCCAAAATGGCTATCATGTTGAAACTGCAAATGAAGCAAAGGTTGAATACCTTTATATTACTACAATAAATGCGAAAAAGAAAATTGTGCATGAAAAATTATCTGCACTTTCTTCTGGGATGTACCATACAAATATTGGTACGATTGAATCACATGTCGTAGTAAACAAAAGGTTTACTGTATTAATGATTTTATCATTTGGCATGACCGGTTGGGTCATCCCAGTTATACTATGATGCGCAAAATAATTGAGAATTCACATGGGCATACTTTGAAGAACCAAAATGTACTTCAATCAAAAAAATTCTCTTGTGTTGCTTGTTCTCAAGGAAAGTTGGTTATCAAACCATCAGTGGCTAAGGTTGGGGTGGAATCTCCTACATTTCTTGAACAGATACAGGGTAATATATGTGGACTTATTCACCCTGCATATGGACCATTTAAATATTATATGGTCTTGATAGATGCATCTACAAGATGGTCACATGTATGCTTGTTATCAACTCGCAATATGGCTTTTGTGAGTTTGTTGGCTCAAATAATAAGGTTAAAAGCACAATTTCTAGATTATGCAATAAAGACAATTTATTTGGATAATGCTGGTGAGTTTACATCTCAGGCATTTAATGATTATTGTTTGTCCACTGGAATAACAGTTGAACATCCTATTGCACATGTTCATACTCAAAATAGTCCAGCATAGTCATTGATTAAACGTCTCCAATTGATAGTTAGACCATTGTTGATGAGGACAAAGTTGTTTGTTTCAGTATGGGGGCATGCTATTTTGCATGCAGCAACACTTGTGCGCATAAGGCCAACTAGTTATCATGACATCTCCCCATTACAATTGGTTTTTGTTCAGGAACCAAACATTTCCCATCTTAGAATCTTTGATTGTGCAGTATATGTTTCAATTGCTCCACCACAACACACAAAGATGGGTCCCCAAAGAAGGTTGGGGATATATGTTGGGTATGAATCTCGTTCTATTATAAAATATTTGGAACCTAGAACTGGAGATTTATTTATGGCAAGGTTTGCTGATTGTCATTTTGATGAATCAATATACCCAACATTAGAGGGAGAACAAAAGCAGTTGGGAAATGAGATAGATTGGAATTCACTTTCACTATCTCATTTAGATCCTTGAACAAATCAATGTGAGCAAAAAGTTCAAAAGATAATTTATTTGCAGAATTTTGCAAATCAATTGCCGGATGCATTTACTATCCTTCCACGGATTACTAAATCATATATCCAGCTGCTAATGCTCAAGTTCGAGTTGATGTCCCGATAAGAAAAAATGTTAAGGCAACGAGTCTGGACCACGCTTAAAACGTTGTAGACCAATTCGTTCCAAGGATAAAAATCCTCGAAAAAAGAAAGGAATAAATGATCAAGATGATCATATATGGAGGCAATTGCTCATGAAGAGCTCCGAGACATAATAAATGATAACACCACTGAGGAGGTACATGTACCTGAAAATAATGAGAATGAGGAAATCTCTATAAATTATGTCTCGACGAGAAAAAGGTGAAATCGAAATATTGTGGTGTATAATATCTTTGCCTATAATGTTGCAGTTGAAATAATGCAACAAGATGAGGATTTGGAACCAAGATCTGTCAATAAAAATGAATGTAAACAGAGAGATGATTGGTCAAAATGAAAAGAAGCAATTCAAATAGAATTGGCTTCACTTGAAAAGGTGAAGTTTTCGGGCCAATAGTCCGAACACCGAAAGGTGTCAAGCCAGTGGGGTACAAATGGGTTTTTGTGCGAAAACGCAATGAAAATGGTAAAGTCGTAAGATATAAAGCACGACTTGTGGCACAAGGATTTTTGCCAAGGCCTAACATTGATTATGAGGAGACATATTCTCTTGTGGTAGATGCAATTATCTTCAGGTATCTTAAAAATTTGACAGTTCATGAAAAGCTTGAAATGCATCTAATGGACGTTGTCACAGCCTATTTATATGGCTCACTAGATCACAATATTTTTATGAAAATCCCTTAAGCACTCATAGTGCCTAAAGCATATAAAATTTCAAAAGAAAGTTGTTCAATAAAGCTTCAGAAATCCTTATATGGATTGAAATAATCAGGGAGAATATGGTATAATCGTCTTAGCTAATACTTGCTAAAGGAAAGGTATAAGAATGATCTTATTTGTCCTTGTATTTTTATACGAAGGTTAAAATCTGAATTTATAATAACATTTGTTTATGTTGATGACTTGAACATCATTGGAACTCCTAAAGAGCTTTCAAAAGTCGTTGAGTGTTTGAAGAAAGAATTTGAAATGAAAGATCTTGGTAAGACAAAATTTTGTCTTGGCCTTCAGATTGAACATTTGACAAATGGAATATTTATCCATCAATCAATATATACTGAAAAGGTTTTGAAGCGATTTTACATGAATAAAGCACACCCATTTGAGAACCCCAATGGTTGTGAGATCTCTTGATATAAATAAAGATCCATTCCGACCTCAAGAAAAGGATAAAGAGTTTCTTTGTGATGAAACTCCATATCTCAGTGCTATTGGGGAACTAATGTACCTTGCAAATAATATCCGACCCGATATTTATTTCGCAGTAAGTTTATTAGCGAGATTCAGCTTATGTCCTACAAGAAGAGATTGGAAAGGTGTTAAGCATATATTCAGATATCTTCAAAGAACAATTGATGTGAGATTGTTGTATTCTAATGCATCCAAGTCAGAACTGATTGGTTATGCAGATGCTAGCTATTTGTCTGACCCACATAATGTCCGATCTCAAACATGATATTTATTCACATAAGGAGGTACACCTATATAATGACATTCGATGAAGCAAACAATAGTTGCTACTTCTTCAAATCATATAGAGATAATAGCCATTCATGAAGCCAGTCGAGAATGTGTATGGTTGAGATCAATGACTCAACACATTTTGCAATTATGCACTTTCTGTGCAAACAAAGACTCCAACAATATTGTATGAAGATAATGCCACTTTCATAGCTCAATTAAAGGCAGGATATAAGGAGACCGAACAAAGCATATTTCACCTAAGTTCTTTTTCACACATGATCTTCAATATAATGGTGAGATAAATGTTCAATAGATTCGTTCGAGTGATAATCTTGCAAATTTATTCACTAAAGCATTGCCAACGTCAACATTTGAGAAGCTAAGATATAAGATTGGAATGCGTCGTCTCCAAGATATCAAATAAAGTTTTCATCAGGAGGAGTAAAATACGCGTTGTACTATTTTCCCTTAACTAAGGTTTTGTCACGTTGGATTTTTCTGGTAAGATTTTTAATGAGGCAGCACTCAAGGCGTATTACAAGATGTATGTACTCTTTCCTTCACTAGGCTTTTTTCCATTGGATTTTTCCTAGTAAGATTTTAACGAGACACATTATCTATAAACATCCAAGGGGAGTGTTACAAATTCATTTAATTGTGTGGATGTTTCTTTTCAATCTACACCTAACGTAATGTCCCATTTAATGTATCACTTAAAGAGCTTCTAACGTATTTGCTTAACAATGTAAACGGGTGATTTCTTCATCCTATAAAAGGGTATGCTTCACCCTTGTGAAAGACAACACTTGAAGAGATTTATACTTTTCATCACTATTTTGTCTCCCTATATTGTTTAGTATTCTTTTAGATTTTCCTCTTGTTTTACAAAAGTTTTCCTATTTTTTGTGCAACTGTTTTAGGTTTGATGAGCAAAAACAGTTGACAGATAATCTCTCTCTCTCTCTCTCTATTTATATATATATATATATATATAT